TATCTGGTCGGTACTCGATACGCAGGGACACAGGTAAGTACTTTCAAAGTGGTATCGGTGCATCCCTACTTCAGGTACACAGCGTTTCTTAAGAGAGTCCTTGCTGCGTCAGTGAAGAGGAAAATGTTTGAAAGTCAGCTCGATTGTTCCCCTCCGTCAGAAAAAGAGTGTCAGTGGAAACTCTTAGTTTATATTCACTTCTACACTACAGGTGTCTCCAATGTAGCTGAAATCATTGAGCTGGTGCGTTCAGGCGTAGCTTATTGGGATCAATACTCACTAGCAGTACTTAGTTGGATGACCAGTAGATGAACTGATTTTGCAGCATTAAGTGTGTTTATGAAGTGAATTGCTTAATTTTCATAGCTAGCAAGTCCACTGACATAAACTTACATCTTTTTTTTTATTATTTCAAGAAAATACATCATACTAGCAGACAATTTAAAACTGCTGTACAGTAAGTAAAACGGGCTTTAAACATAGAAAAACAATTGAGCAGACCAACAAAAAATGATTTACAGAACAGTGGGTGAATCCAATGAATCATATATGATGAAAATCCTAATTAAATCAATTATTTACCTGGAAAACGATGGTGATTTTTGTGTCATAGGCCATCTGTGACTTTCTGTTTCTGTGTAGGTAAATTTCAGCCCGGCACAGACCGTCCAGATCCCAAGACGTGGAAGGCTAATTTCCGCTGTGCCATGAACAGCCTGCCGGACATCGAGGAGGTGAAGGATAAAAGTATCAAAAAGGGAACGAACGCCTTCAGAGTCTATAAGATGCTGTCCTCGTCAGAGAGGAGCATGAAGAAAGGTGAGTGCTGCTGCTGATCGTCACAGATTGGATTTATTTTAAATTCTATATTTACCGTTTTAAGACACTTTAAATCAAGTTCTAAATGGTTTCTCTCTGTATGTCCCTCTAGGAAAGAAGAAAACAGACAAGGAGGGGAAGCCCAAGGGAAATAAAGAGGTACACAATACAGCTGCACAGTTAATGGAAATATTAAGTGCAATATGCAAAAAACAAGAGCTGTAATGTTTTGATAAAATGTGTGACAAAACAGCATTATAATGAAGAACTGTAGTGCTGCAGCGGTTCCCTGCCCTACAAATCTTGTTCTCCAGAATTGGTACAAAGCCCCAAACATTTCACATCATCATAACTTCAGTAGTAAATTCAATTTGTGATGCAAAAACAATAATTCCCACCTAATAGTGAATCGCAATATCTGTCCAAATAATCTAAATATGACGTTTTTACCATATCACACAGACAAAGCAAAAGTCCTTTTTTACACATTAAACCCACAGCATTGGCAGGATGGGGTAGTGGTTTCTGTGGGCACGTTGCACAAAAAATCTCTTAAAGAGGATGTTCACATGTGACTGATGCATAATTTGATTTGACTGCGGGAGAACGATGTAGTACGATGGGAAATGATAACACCACAATAAAAGAGTGTGTCTGTCATTTCACACTTGCCTGGAAATTAATTGTCCTCCGGGCTTCTTCGGTGACATGTGAGACTTCACAGGAATATTTGCAGAGAACTTTCATGTGAAAGCAAAGCTAAGGGTTTCTGAAGTATTGCTCAATTCTGAGCACTATGAACAATCCAGTTGCCACATGACAGACTTTTGCCAGAGTAGGTGCGGTAAACAAGCCCTCCTCCCTCCATTTGGTTCTGTCTCTCCAAGCAATGCAAAACAAAAAATGTAAAATCAGCTACGTCCTGTTGGAAATGAGTAGTGAAATGATGGAATTGGTTCTCTGTTTCCAGAATCAGCAAACAGGAATAGAAAACACTCTGACTTTTAACTATTCTATACATAGCCTAAAATGTACTTAAGTACATCAAAGTATACTTTCTTACACGGCGTTTCCTTCGAAAAACATTCATGTTGATAGAACCGTCCCAGAGTACTACATTTAAGAAATACTGAAGAACTCAATGAGTAATAAGTATTTCAGTCAGTTTCATTTGTGTGTTTACATGCCTGAAATGTTCCAGATATTAGCCTGTATCCTGCTATGGTCTTAGTTGGAATAGGCTATTTATAAACCTCACTTAAAATGTTTAGCAGGTCTCTGCAATGGGTCACTACTTCCCAGTTGTCGTATTAGAGTTCAGCCTGAGTTATTATGTGCAGGGCGCTGTGTTTAAATGGGCATGTGAGTGTTGGTGTGCATAGAACTGCTATGAATGGAGATTGAATTACATGTTTTCTGCTCTGTATGTTCCACTAATCCAGTTGTTCCTCACAGGGTGGAGAAACACCGATCCTCTCCTGCACATTAAAACCTTTTTAGGATCAAACCCTGCATGCACAATGGACCATATTGATCTGATGCATCTTTCTTTCTCTTTTTTTTCCCATCAGATAGCTTCTCCAGACCGGACTCTTCCTGCCGCTTACAGTGGACCTCTTGACTACACCAAACAGGAAGCCATCAAGCAGGAAACAGTAGAGCTTACCGTGATGGACAGCGCCTCAGGTACTCCACAGGTTTTCTTTATGAATAGGTTGGGGCTATTTCACGGTCTACCTTGGTTTATATTTCTCCGTGGGTGTGTTGTGATTAATCCTCGCCATGTATATGTAGTATCTCCTTCCACTGATTAGAGGTATGCTTTCCACCATTTAAAGGGACAGTTCATCCCCAAATCAAAAAAACACGTTTCACCTCTAACCTGTAGTACTATTAATCCATATAGATTGTTATAGATCATTCTGTTGTGAGTTGCTGAGTCTTGGAGATGTCTTCCTCCCTTGAATATAATAGAACCGGATGGCACTCACAAAAACTCAGCAGCAATGTCTCGTTCCAGAAATCCTGACCCGGTTACTCAGAATAATCCACAGTCCGTTCATGTTTCATGTAGGCGCTGCAAGATCTGGTGAAAAAATCATATTGCGAACATTTTTGACAGATATTGCATTATGATTCATGATTAGTGGGAAT